CATTATCAATTAGTTCTGTAATTCAATATCGCAAGGTCGACTGCCTTTTAGAATTTCATTATTAGATAATACTCATAAATTACATACTACTGCTCATCTGAACGAGAATCGATAATAGGCACGAACAAATGTCGTAGATCAAAGCTATTATCGTATGCGTAGGGAGTGTAATGTATCTTAAGAAATTCTAAGAAAGATAATTCTAGTATAAATCTTTTAGACTAATGATATGATAATAGACTTTCATGTAAAATTCATTAATTTTTCATTACCTGCATGACCAAAGAATATTTGCATAGTCTGCTACCTGGATTATAGAATAGTGTGTAGTTGGTCCCTTTCAATCAGATAATCTTACTTTATTTTACTGTATCAGCGTATGCATGATAACTTTCAGAGAATGTCGATTAAACATTCCGCGAATTTGTTTATAAATGATGCGATTGTTATTGGCAATAAGAATAAAATTCACATTCTAAAGGCATTCATAGCTATATATCTCTTATCAAGATACTTTGTCAGTGTTTGCACTTAACATGCAGAATATTACAATGTTTAGTATGTCCATCATTAACCATTCTGCTGCCTACATCCATATTTGCTGTTGAACTTGTACGGTGCTGCAGCAGTTTAATCTACAAGAACAGATGTACGATAACTAAATAAACAAAGGACTAGTGTAATCTTGGATCTATTGTAAGCCAATAAAGTTTTTTCAATCCATAAAGATATTTATGAGCCCGTCACTAAGGTGTAACTGTTCTATAGCGTAACCTTTGATATAATGAATTGTTACTGGAGGTAAAATAGTATTCAAATTAGAATGTCTTAAAAAATCTTATTCAATAATCAAGCAGATGTTAATATGGCATTTTAAACAATCAAATGCAAGCCGTACTTCCGTTACCATATTTTGTACATGAAAACAATATAACTCAGCAAGACTTAACGAACTAGCGATACTATGACATTAATATATACTATGTAGATAATCATGGAACTTGTAGCAAGGTATTACAATGCAAAGTATAAATAGTTGTCAATGATGAATAAGTGCGAATATATTAGATTACAACGGCCTCTTTCAGCTTGCTTATTCAAATCACGGTAACGCACTTTAGGAACATTATCCCTAGAAGTATGCCCTGGCACGATATATGCACATGCGATCCACGAGCAAATTAATCATTAAAATCTATTTGAATGGATCTAATAATACCAGAGCATTACGATATAACCTAAAATTAGTGAAAGGTATAAATGCAGTTGGTAGGCGAGAAGTATAACGAGCGAGGAATCGACTAGTAGTTAATAATTGCAATAAATTACAAGATAGGTATACAGAACACATATCTATAGTACTGATGGCTTATATGCGAGCAATCATTGCAGGTTTCTAACGGATATTTTTCCAAATATTCAATAAAGGCCGTTTCTTAATCAGATTATTCGTATTTTAACCTTATAAAGCATCTCAAGTAATCTTACATTTGATTATATGCTAATCACGTGCATCGTTCCAAAGAAAGGGATCTTGCTAACACAAAGATCTCCTAGTAAAATATGATTCTTGTAAATTCTTGATTTTAGGACAATAAACTTTTGTAACATTTGTATTACGAAATTGCTGATTGATAACCTTTGCGAACCTTTTTCTACAATCAATTAGGAGAACAAGCTCATAATATTTATCTATCTTGTGCAATTGGATAGTTCACGCAATAGAGGTCAAGAATGTAGCAATAATTGTATAGTATCAAGATTTCATTGATATCATTGTCTTGGAAATGGTTCTTTGGTAGCAATTAGGCGCATTTATTGAAGTTTTAACTCAGATACCGTATGAAAAGTCGAAAATTCCCTTTAACTGCTATGAAAAAGTAGATTATTTGCAATAGACGCAATTGTACAATCCAACATGGCAATATAAGGCGAATCGCTAATGAAGGTACGATAGTTTCGGCAAGGATTATTGTGGCAATGTTTGCGTACCGTATCATTAGCTGGAATGTTGTTTCAACAGCCTTATGCAGTGCTGTATTGAATATTAATGGCATATAGGTTCAGTAGGAGCTAAAGCGATACCAAATTAAAAGTGGCCAAATGTTCATAGATCCAACACCAATGACATCAACTTTATTAACAGTAAATGCGCGTTACTACTAATGCAATCCACCCTCAGATAAAATTGCAATAGTTCTAATACTTATTATATCTATTGTACCATGGACTCTGTCTAGTGGATAAACGTAAGATATTGGTCATCAAATTAAAGACCGTACTGGCCATGGAGGTTTTTTCTTACCTCTACAGTACTGAGTACTACTGACTACTAGTGAGTACTATTCAAGGTTCCAACTTCAATGACGTGAATTTGAATATTCTACGTACGCGTTTGTTGTGTTGCAATTTACCCTCAGGTGAAATTTGGAAAAGTCCTAAAGCTTATTGCAAATACTGTCAATTTATTCAACATCGGCTTCCATCGAACCCTAAGGCATGTAAGCTTGTTCTGTATTATTACCACAAGCAAATTGTGCAAGTCCTTTAATACTGTAGTTCATTTCCAGGTACAAAAATTGCACATACGCGTACAAGCGCTAAAACCTTTACTATTGAAACAATCCAGCGTCTATACTATCAGAGCATCGTACAGAATTAACCATAGACTACAGCGGTCAATTTAGTCGTCCATGGCACGGATTACTGTCCATTCGCCATCCTAAATATCAAAACTACTTACACTATTTCGTTACCCCTTGGCTGCTAATACTTGAACTACTCCACCATAAGATCAAAATAGGCAACTCCGTCCGCCTCCCCTAGCTAAGGTCTGTCCGTACGTACAGCATTTTGGACATTTTAGGATGGTCTACACTAGAGTGGAGACCCTTTATAAGAGAAGGCCTGGGTCTCTAACACTGTAATATCAATCCCTATAATATCGAAATAGGCAATTCAGTCCGACTCCTCTAGCTAAGGTCTGTCCGTACGTTCAGCAGTTTGGACATTTTAAGATGGTCTACACTAGAGTAGAAACCCTACGAAACCCTTTATTAGAGAAGGCCTGGGTCTCTAGTCTAACACTGTAATATCAATCCCTATAATATCAAAATAGGCAACTCCGTCCGACTCCTCTAGCTAAGGTCTGTCCGTACGTACAGCAGTTTGGACATTTTAGGATGGTCTACAGCTAGAGGAGTCGGACGGAGTTGCCTATTTTGATATTATGGTGGAGTAGTTCAAGTATTAACAGTGAAGGGGTAACGAAATAGTGTAGGTAGTTTTGATATTTAGGATGGCGAATGGACAGTAATGTACACTAGAGTAGAGATCCTTTATTAGAGAAGGCCTGGGGTCTCTAGTCTAACACTATAATATCAATCCCTATAATATCCAAATAGGCATCTCAGTCCGACTCCTCTAGCTAACGTCTGTCCGTACGTACAGCAGTTTGGACATTTTAGGATGGCCTACAGTACAGTACTGTACAGTACATACAGTAGACTAGAGTACGTACTGTAAAGACCCTTTATTAGAGAAGGCCAGAGTCTCTAGTCTACAGTACTGTACAGTACTGTAGCCCATGTCCGGGTACAGTGTACAGTGTAAAGTACTGCTAAAGTGGTCCGGCAGACCTTGACCGTACCGTACCGTGTGACACATACGGAAATCGTAGTAAAACTGCACCACGCAATAACATAGGAAGGGACACCGGAGCGGTTTTCGTGCAAGATTAACTAGCAACTCTTGAACCTTTTCCATTGCATTCCGATCCATTTCTTGATTAACTGAATGATCGTGCACTTGATTGGAAATGGTCTGATATACGAATCTTGCCACGGTAAGAATAGCTCTCGCTATCAGCCGGTTACATATTCTGGATAAAATTAAGACGAATCAAATGATCTATGCAAGCTTAGGAATAATTTTTCAGCTTGCAATTGTTAACCTTAATCTTACACTGATTTGATGCTGACGTGCTTTGCATGGACCTCATTCAATCCAGTCTCAAATTTGCCTCGGTTAGCTTACAGTAAATTAGGAATACGCGAAGCTCAGAAACGCGTTTTACTTCACTATCTTCTATAAACAGTCGCGGTGTTCAACACGAGTAAACAGGAAGTATTTAAATGACTGGCAGCAATGGAATGCTGTCATATTTGTAGCGCAAGTGATACAATGTTAAAATAAAAATAAAGAATGACTAGTACGGTTAGATAAGGTAGTTACTCGTATCTAGGATAATGTCCCTGGGTCTGCAAAAGTAGAAACTGTTTCCGAACTTGGCAGCATTGCTATCGGTCAAGAAGAAATCAGGGGCCTTTAGTCCTTAGGTCTGTTTGTGGACCATATAATTGAGAGCGGTACTGTATGTCTATCTGACATCGATGAGGAACCGGGATGAATCATATTTCTCGCATAGCAGCACGTAGTTTCAACCGAGGCAGTATTATTGCACAGGATAGCATAGCAAATATTAATATACGGCCATATAAAGTCGATACTCTTTCTAAACTATGCAATCTGCTGTTTTGGAGTGCGGCGCAAATACTGTAATGGTAACTCCGTACGCTTAATTTGGTCTACGATTCCTCAATTGTTTTTCAATATAGAAATTTTGCGAACCATGATTTAACAGTTAAGGATCACTTTATCGAAGTGTAAGTGTACCGCTCGTACAATTGCAAGTGACGATATTCATGCCGGTTGCCGATCCGATATCTAGTCGTTATTAAATCAACTGGATTGTTAAAGAAATTCGATAATATAAAAGGGAGAACTTCATGGTTAGGTCTGATACAGATGTTGCGTATTTTGATCACTATATTTTAAGGATGCTTCTTGAGTATGAATGCCAATACTACCTCGCTGATATTGCATACTCGAATACAGCGTACGAGAGAGCGCTTCCTATTTAGGCCTTTTGTATGTAATGCATTATTTTTATCTCCTCAATTTTGGGATAGGTAATATACTGTAAGAATCGTCCCTAAAGGATGACTACGGAAATACTAGATGATATTGATCGAAAACTGTTTGGCTATGTAGCGGAATGGGCTTGCTCTCGTCGGTATTATTCTATTCTTCGAGGTATAGCACTGTATTGTATAGCAGAGAAAATTATTCTTGCAACTTACTTTACTCTTTACACGGTTTATATTGCAGTTGGCACTTAGTAAATGCACTGTATTATCTCAGGCAATATCCGTTGATTAATTCTAGCGTATAAGTTATTATTACAGTTTAAAGCAAATGAATACCTGCAGTCCATTAAATAGATGATATAAATCTACTGTAGTTATGATTGCTTAATAAAAGTAACCCTGTACAATTGTGCTGTTTTACGAATGTTTTCCTATCCCACCAGCAATCGTATCTAAACTAAATACTCTGGTCGACAAGAATTTATTCTGTTATTCTTCTCCTAGTGCAAACACTAGTAAAAGAATATGAAATAAATGAACGAGTATGCTATTGTAAGGACCACTAGAATCCCTGGTACTGATTCTAGTAGTCCTTGATTATAATTATATCAGCGTACGAACCAATTAATACAACAACTTCCGTCTTTCGCTTCTTTACTAAATTCACTCCAAATACTACCTACAATATGAGTGGCAGTGCTTACTGAAACTGCTCTCATAATATATAATCAAGGTACCGCAACGACTGTTCTAACTTAACAGTATCATTATACTATGTACAAGCCGTATAGGCATGTCCTATCTACAGTTTTAATCTGGAGCTTGACAAAGCGAAATAATTTTTATGTACTAACTCCAATAACACAATACGAACACTGTAGTTATTTGTACAAGTTATAAGTGTATAATGGAACTAATAACTTTCAATTCATACCATAAGTATTAATTATTTTTCTCATGTCAAGTTTGCAGAATGTCATGATGTATAACTTTTGCTTAAAGAAGTATGAATAGTCTGTTGCATTATACATCATACAGGATTGCAGGAACATCATGGAAGTGCGAAATTTACTGTTAAAACTGAGCGATGGATGGCTTATAATTTATGGCGAATTGTTAGTAAAAGAGAGCTAGATAAGTATGTAGATGCCATTGAAATACTACAACAGCTGCATTCAAAGTGGCCGAAATTAATCACCTTTGAAGAATATAGGAGAATCTTACTTGAAATGAAAACAAAGGTCGGTGTCATTAAGATTTATATCTTATAAATGAATACATAAGAGCTTTCAAAGACCTAAATTAACTGCGGGTACTAGAAATATCTCCTGTTATAGAAATATTATCGATAGTCTAAGGATATTGTTTTAAATTAATTTCTTAGTAATTGTTGCTGATGCAAACAACCCGATGAATGCTACCATGTTGCGTAATTAAGATTCTATTTAGATCAAATTTGATATTTTATTCCTTTACTATTGATCATTATAGATACTTTGTATGAAACGTAGTCGCCTAAATAACACAATTAAAAATCTTTGATTTGATTAGTTTATACTCGATTGAATAATTATCATGTGTTATTATAAAGAGTAAACTATTTAATTAATTATGTATACTATTCATATGCCCCACCAATATTAGGCAATATTAAATTTGTTATCATCGTGTAGCGATGACTTAAAGATTATTGATATGACTTGCAAAATGCTTCCGAGAAAACAAGAAGATAGAGAAGATTTGGTAAATATTATAACGTATTGTAAACGACCGGATTCATTATGGTTATCAATGCCTGCACCAATTCACTAGTGTGCAATTAAAATTTGCTTATACAATATAATAACCCGCAATCTAATTGATTTTAACCCCACTTGGATCACATTTCGTGTAGTCTGACGAAGAAGCCCAGGCACTTCACAAGGAGCAGTTATTAATCCGTCATAATATTATATGTATGATTAGTGAAAGTGAACTACGGAAAGATTTTTCTGAACACTTTAGAAACGTCATGAAAGACTGTCAAGAAAAGTTACCATTGGAACAGCTCGTAGAACAATACACTGATAAAATTAACTCTGAGCTCGGAGAATGTGCATTAATTGAAAAGGTAACTATAACACTCAATTTTAAGTTTAGCAGGTATTTTCTAGAGTACAGTAGATGCATCGTAGTAACACTTTCCTTTAATTTCCTACTAAAACTGCGAACTTTTTTTAATTTTACTATTAATTTAAAAGTTATGCGATATCAAAGGAGATGGTGAAGCGGAAAATTATGACCAGAGTATTAATGTTAGTAATAAGACTTGTTTATAACTCAAATGATTTTATGGATTATATGGTATTACATTGTTTTAATAAATATATTTTAATTATTGTTTCGAGTGACTTAGTGAATTTCACTCTGCCCTTAAGCAAGGCAATATTGAGTCGAAATGCAATTTTTACTATTGTATTATCAGTTATAAAATTCTACTTTGCCGTTGCACAGCTGCTAATGATTATATCATTGGTAATATTAAACAAATAATAGGCTATTGTAAAGGGTCCGCTCACATCAGTTGCGATTGCATCTGAATCATCATCTACGGCAACGTTTATTACTACACCTAATGATAGAAAAAGTAACGAAGTTCTATCAAAGCGACAATTACTTACAAATAAATCTGCTAGTATCGGGAATAGTAGAACGTCTAGTGTCTACGCCACTTTCTCAATTGACGATAAATCAAGTACACTGACTTTCGAGGACGATCGATTGGATATGCTACAAGCTACAGACCTTACATCAGTATTTATGCCGACCACGGAAAACAAAGATGTAGTTGCATCCTCAGTTACAGATGAAAATGTGGCATGTTTACAGGATCTACTTGCATGCTCCAGTACATATTCTGAGATGGAAGGCAGTAAAGCTATAGGTAAAGCGATGATTACTATGGCCACTCTATCAAAAGACCTATCTGGTAATTCAAAAGACATTTCTATAGTCAAAACAGACGTAGCGGAACATGTGAAAGCTGATACTACCATTCCGTTAAATCTACCTCTGAAATCAAATAATAATATTATAGTGAAAAAAGAGTCAACTAGCACCAAACAACCTCCAATATACATTATTGATTCATCTTCAGGGAATAGTTGTAACAATGATAAGAGAGACACTCGTATTAGCGATTCCTTAGAGGTTATTGAACAACCGATTACAAGAACTACCACTAGCGATAATCGAGCGAAGTCAACTAGATCGAAACGTAAATCGAAAAGTGTACAAAACGAGGATAGTAGAGCTGACCTTATAGCAAGTAACATAAATATGATTAGCAAGGTTAAAAGCAGGAACAATCAACATCGCCAAGATAGCCCAGATTACGAAAATATGCAAGTGGTTGGCTACAGAATGCTAGAAAGTGGATCCTACGAATGCGTCCTGATTGGGAAGGATAAAAGAAGGTGCTCCGTAATATTCGAACAGTGCAACGTAGAAATAGCAAAGCAAAGTTTTTGACGTATCTTTTGGCCATTGCTACACTAGCTCCCGATAGGAATATAAGAAAGAAGACTACATCGTAAGAGCTTTCAGGTTCTATTATTAAGGGCAGAAATATTGCCATTGTGCGTAGTTCCAAGAGCTACAGTAATGGCACTTTGTGGTTAAGCATGCCATTACCCAAGCTAAGATAACATTATTTGATAAAGTAATTTAGTAAAGGTTTGCATGTAAGATAAAAATTAACTGCAACTGCCGTACTTATCTTAATTAATTATTCAACCATTTGGACGAAAAATTTCCTTTGACTAATCACTATTGATATTAATACTATTCATTAACCGTTTTATCATCTTCATAACTGAGAGTTGTAAATTGATAGTCGTAACTAAGGCATTAAAAATGCTTGAAGTTCAATTAAATTTTCAGCCTGACAATTCAATGTTCGGGAAAGCAGTTCAGCTTAACCTATAGTATCCTCGTTTTATAATCCTTTTCTATCTCTAAAGGCTTGTATACTTAATACAGCTGAGCAATGTAATAAAAAGAAACCATATCTATAATTGTTGGGTGTTGTATTAAAAGTCTTTTAATCAATAGCGAAGCAATACGATGAATGTATGAATTATGAGGAGTTCTTGCGATCATGGAAATCGAGCAACCTAAGAACTATTACTATTCATAAAAACGATCAATACGAAGTGGTAAGGTCTTTGTTGAGCTAAATACCTGTAATTAGATCCAGCAAGCTATTGATTTAGTAAAATTATATAGAATTGCAAATCATTGTGACTGACGCACATCTATAATGCTATTCAAATCTCACACAATGAAAACTATCAGATGGCTACCGACCATGAAAAGTTTTGAATTTGTGCGTAACAAGTAATTAATTATAAATATTTGTTATGACGAAAACCTTTGCTTGACGTATAACTTTCGTGTAACCCAATACTACACTAACTGTAATAGATTTCATCTCTTTTATCTAATAAATTAAATTACAGCTGGCGCATTGATGCTACATTGACAAATTTTTTAAATTGACCTCATAGATGTGTAGGGTAAATTGTTTTTCATATTTCGTACATTCATTTTTTGGGGGCGATGGATAAATTCATTACTCGAACGCAGAGGAAGTACTGTAACATTATCATAATTTTATTTCTATAAATGGTAACGATTATTTAATAGCGAAATAATCCTATTATAGCCAGTTAGTTTTATAATGCTCAAACATTAACGAGCTTATTTACTATCAGAGCCAATGTGACTTTATTGTTCTTAGTAAATCATTAACAGCCTAATGTTCGAAATTGAACTTTCAAGCATTACTATCCATTTAAGAAAGGTTTTTCGTAATGCTTTCATGCTTTAAGGCCAAGTTAACAAATGTTCAGAACAACGTAAGCAGTCTTTAGGCTATACCATCATTGGCAAAGTACTAGTGAATGGAAAAGCAAAATAAGTTGCATGGTGATCCTTATTTACGACCTTTTTTAGAAGCAACACTAAGTAAATGTTCAATATCATTAGCAATTGCTTCAGTTCGAAAATTTCTACTGTAACGCTTATACGGTTTGCCATCTGCTGTAATCAAAAATTTTTCAAAATTCCAAGATATATCGCTACGTTTGACAGGTTTCCATATAATAAATTTTGGATCGCTCATTAAACTATCCGCATCATCGCTTGGAGTAGGTAGCGATTCTTTCAAGAATTGAAATAGTGGATGAGCATTAGAACCGTTTACGTCACATTTGTCCATAACCACACAATCAGGTTGATATCCACCACCTGGTCGAACATGCTTGAGTGAATGGAGAATTTCTTCCCCATTTAAATTTTCCTGATGGCCGAACTGATTGCACGGAAAAGCTAAAACAGCGAATCCATTTCCTTGATGAGCATATTTAGCTTGCAATTGGTTCATCTGTCAGATTATTAATACGATAACATAGATTAGAGAAATATCAATGCATGGTATCGATAATTAATCTATCAAAGTAGCAGCCCGTAAAAAAATATGATGCCAACACAATCAAATTTCCTGAAAGTGTTGTTTGTCGAACTAAAATTGACATCGCATTCACTGTATCCGATAAGCTTTGTCAAGTATTATTAATCGTAGTTGCACCACAATTTGATAAATCAATCACGAAACACCTAATGTAATTGTCGATATTGAATTTGATCTCTAACAGTCTCCAATTTACTCGTATATCTATTTTTTCAAGAGAACTTAAAGTCATGGTTTAAGAAATTTGCAGGGCTTTCCCAACCTCTAGCCCTTCCTAACTATAGTTTATAATTTTTTATCCATTTTTAATAGTCTAGACGTTGCTCATTCATTGTTTTGCAACTTTCAATGGCACTTCCATAGTAAAATGTAAATTTAATATGAAATCTGCCCAGTGCCCATGAATCAACATACATATACCAGATTGTGTATGAGAGACTCGGGAAAAATAATTAAATCGAAATCGTGATTCGGGTATTGTTGAAAATGTCAAGATCTGTAAAATCATCATAAACTAACATAATGACGGATTCCAGAGAATTAAAAGTAGCTAACGGTTATCTATATTACAATTTAACCAAGTGTCTATTCAAGAAATCGATCGGAGTAACTCAACGATATATAGGGTAGTCGAAAGTTATCGCCATGCAGTACTTTTTCCCCTTAAAATTGGATAAACAGCAACTATTCAGATAGAAGACAAACAATGAATTATAGCCCAGTAAGTGCAAAGAAAACTTTTGAAATGTGAAATGCTTTAAGAGTAACAATTACTAATTATTCAATAACGCATTTGGACACAATACTTTCAAGAATGAAATATTCCATTGGATGTTTCCTTCATACATATTTTAAATATTTTATAATAAGATTGTCTAGAGTCAATTTTGAATCATTTAAAATGTTGGAACTTGGAATTTGTAGTCATCAGTCACGTAGCAGCACAATGAGCTCATAAACGTTCAATTCGTTATCTAAAAATAATTACTTTAAAAACTAGGGTAAAATTCGCTGCAATAATATGCTGAGTCGTAATATGATCTATTCTTGTTGTACTGTAATTGCAATATTGGATGCAATAGATGATCGATCTTTGAGTCTAATTGACTAGTTGTACAGTTACAAAACGACAGGCAAGTACATTCATCCTGATCAATCTCCTTTTCATGATACAGTCTATGCGTAAAGCAGTAGTCAGGTTACTCGGGGATAGATCTATTTCTAAAGATAGGGATAGACATTGGATCGTCGATAACGTCTACTGCTGCAATTTATGACTATTATTGATCAGCGAATTAACTTAATGAGCCATCAAATAATTCCATTTTTAATAGTTGCCGTACTGAATCACATTGTCATTGAAGTAATTTTACACAGCAGCAAGGAAAGTGTACGATTGCAGGAGTAAGAGTTATCCTAATCGTTTCTATAGTATCGATCAAGTGTGGCCGATCGATGTCATCTATCGACGTAGAACGATAACTATTGATTTCAAGATTTGTACCTAGTATTTTAGTTTGTCTATCATTAATCGAATCGAATTGGACACAACATCAAAGCTAATCCAAGATTGAAGCAGTCATTAGATTTATTTCTCTTGATCGGCAGTCTAGTCTATCAATGCAATCCGTCTTATAAATGCAAAGCTACTAAAGGGAGATCGATTGCCGTATCATAGCACTCTCGATCATTTCACATCCAACTAATCGTTCATCCCTCTACACACATCCATCAACTACTTCAATAAGTGGCACTTAAATACGGTAGTTACTGGTACAACCATTAACGTAGATCTCCATGATATAGATTGCCTAAGATAATTCAATAGATAGAATGATCATACCTCCAGGAAATCGCGAGTGGTTGTACCTCATGCTGAAGCAGTATTTTCGATCAGGACAACTTTGTTGCGAAATTTAGCCAAAGGAAGTTGTTCACCAGACAAAGTCTTGGCCGTCAAGTCATACAATGACTTGATGACTTTGCCGTTGCTGGACATTCTGCGAATGATAATGGAGCTATTCATTTTAGCCACCCTTAATAAATACACCGTGGCAGTGATTGCAATCTGTGCAGTTGTTCGCTATTTGGTTTCCAAGAGATGTTGTTCTAAACGCCAATGGTTACTAACGTGGTTAATAATTAATTCCTCTTGTCAAATACGCTTACGCTAGCCACTGAACCAGGGTGTAGTAACTAGTACTAATACTGGACAATAGTCCATGTTGCGTAAACATCATCAAGAAAGGATATAGAATGGTCTACGATTGCTAATTGTTCTGATTAATTAATTTAACCTTGGCCAAATCAATGTTTTGTTACGTTGATGCAATCGTCACTATCGCCAATAAACTATTTGTATAAGGTATACTCTACTCTACGGTAACGCTATCTAGTTCTAATGTCGTATAAGTTGCAGTCTAAAATGAGAGAACTGGCCTACAAGGCTACTTTGGCTGTTGTCGAACATCTGCATCACAGATATAGCATATAACAGCTCATTGTCGACCGGTTTGTTAATAAAATTATACTAGTATACAACCTGATCGCGTACACTATCATGCTGACAACGATAATTAATGTTAGATTAGAATACACGTATGATGATGTGTTTAGCAGAGTAATTAGCAAACTACGTGAGAAGTAAGAGAGGACTTGATCATGGCTATGCATGCTTGGATTTTAGCCGGCTCTCCGCGGACCACAGAAGCTTTCGTCGTATAAATTACGCAGACTAAAAGTATTCTAAGACAATTCAATCTTTGACAGCATTTACAAGAGAATAAGGAGTAGAAGATGAGTTTTTATTATAGGATTGTACATCGATATTGAGAAGAAATTATGTAACAGTAATGAATACATATCCCGTTATTTAGTTTAGTATAGAAATGAGATTAAACTAAAAGAATAACTTGTAATTGTTTCAGCCATTCTTTGGTTTAGTCTCTTCCTATTAAAATTTTTTTTTAAATGAATTAATAATGTAACAGCTTCTGGCATAGAACAACACTTTAATATAATAAAGTATTCTTTCGGCTACATTATATGTTAGCACTAAATCAGTCAATGTAAGATTTCATAAAAATACTATTCAAAGTAGACCATGTTAGTGACTGCCAGGGGTCGCCAGTATATGAAATTCTGTCATAGAATCCATATTAAAAGGGTAGGAGGGAGTAGATGAATTCCAACACCTTTCTCTGATACAAGTAGTATGTTTGAAATTTTACCGTGCTGGTCAAAAGTGGAGTTATCCTGGTAATAAGACAATTATGTTGTATGTAGAATTCGAGCGTTATGATCAGGACACTGGAATGACATTGGTTTGATACTATATAGTACAACTAGAAGTGTCATATCATTTTTCATGTAGCAAACATGCTACTATTGCCCTATATTTCTCTAGATGTAGTCTAAATTGAAGATGATATATCAAGAATGTCATTAAGCGAAATAATTACAGAAACTCTTTTGTAGGGATCGAGGGATTAATTATCACCAGGCTTGTAGATCCGTCTGTAAAGTTTGTAATATGTACATGTAACAGTTAGATGTATTAGCCGATGTAATGTAAGCAAAGTGTAGATTGTAAAGTTTGAGTAATTCTTGCAAGTATATAAGAGATGCCTTAATTAGCAAAGCAAACTTCAATATCCATTACGGACTAGTATGTGAGAATTAATACATTCAAACTAGTCAGCAGGACCATAACACCGTCAATATAGCCAATTTATTAACTGTAAGTCAAAATTAGAAGTTGCCAACGGGTAACTGTACACAAAACTAAACCGAAGCAGATATCTTTAACAACGAGTAACTAGATCAAATCTACGATCAAAATCTCTACGATCTTCCCAGCTCTCTCCCTCTGTAGCTTAGCTTGCACGGCCTTGAATACTATCTATTTTATACAGTCCTACTAAAGGACTAGTTACTAAATTTAAGACAATTACACTATTTTGGTAATTAATAGTAACGCCATGCATTGCATCATCAATAAATACTTTAACATGAATGTAACACGCATTAATATCACTTTGACTTTAATGAATTAATGAATTAGTAGTACTGCAAAGCGCTGTATTTCTAAATAGCCGTGAAGGAATAATTAAGTATGCAAAAATCGATACATGTATCTGATCCAATGTTTACCAAGGCTCAAATTCTTCCTTGCTAAGTCAATAAACTCGGTCCATCATGATGCATTCTGTATCAATTTAATATCTCGGATTGAGAATAACCGGTCAAACAAGTTCTACGCAAAAATTAAGAACAAACAACAATATCTAACATAACTTCTTTCAGCTAAAAATGAGGGCGTATAATATAATCAGCAATTCTATTCTCATTCTAATATTTTATATCTATATTCATATACCCCACTTATATTGTTTTAAAATTGATCAGTGATACGATGGATCAAATATTCATGGTAATTAATATATGAATACATACAATTTGAGTATTCATATTAACAATTATTTCGAGAGAACAAGATGGAAGCTTTTTTTAAATCCTTGAACTGTTTATAGAGAATCATGATTGAACTAATGCTTATGGAGTAGCTCACTACGCAATTAAAGTGATGATACTAAAGTATATTTTATTAGACAGCGACTAAGGCATTACCACAGTTCCGTCATAGTAGATATGTAATACTATGATAAAATGTAATAGTACTAAGTCATAAGTATTTTCCATCAATAAAGTGATTCTTAATTACCGTATGATGTAATACATGTGAAGAATTCCTTTAATTAGCCAAGTCTTTTATGATTAAGTTTTAGCCTCAATACTAAGAATAATATACCATTCCAATAAGCTGGAAAATATATTTTAGCATCGTGTCTTGGTAGAACAGAAATTCTACAGTAGCTCTGATAGCTGCTGTGAATATACGACCTAGATAAGATTCGATGATAGTTACAAATTAGAATAGGCTTGGATGAACCAATAAGCAAAATAGGCCTATTTTAAAGTACAGTGGAAAAAACGGGGAACGATAGAGTTTAGTTTACCATGGCGTACTGGAACTAATACACGTGTATAAAAAATATAAGAATATATTACCACGGATAATAAGCCAAGCAAGTAGGGAGCTTTTAATAAAGGTTGAAATGCTTGATTTTGACACAAAGAATCTGTTCATCACAAACCTTTACAGCACTATTTTAGCATCAATTAGGCACAATTGACTTCTATAAGACATATCTTAATTTGCCATCAACAGCCACTTTAATAGATATGCCATATCAAATGAAATATCTTAATGCCAGTATATCCATTGACCAATTTCATGTAAACTAATCAGCTGCCATGTACTAAATAACATTATCCTTGAGTTATGATACTGCATTATATCTGAATCTGTACTTAGAGCACATGACTATTGTTGTAATAAGGGTCATAAATCTATAAAATTTACTTATCATATCCAGGTAAACGCACATCATCGGGTAAGAATCCTCTAAATATCCCCAAATTTGTGCCTATGATATTACGAAGGCTAAGAAAAAAGGATTGGATCCATCTATGTTCTAAGTTGACACTTAGGAACACTTGCAGGGTTATCAATGACGCGGTAGATTGCTTTTATGCCGTATAGAGACATGTTTGCACTACCTGCATGTTATGTTCGTAGTTCATTCTTTTGATTTTTAAATTATCCGTATCACTTTATCAATCAAAAAAAAGTGATTCTCTCCTACAACTAATCCCCTATTTTTTTTCAACAATAATTCTATATGAATCATTCGCAAAATTACCGCATGATAAATTAAATATACCCTACCATTAAGTTATCGACCTCTTTATTCTGCCTGATTAGCAATTATGCCTCTACTTACCAGATGGTATTAATCACTTAAGTAGTGTAGCTTAATTTTCATGTCTGTCTAGTAAATTGCTTTAAATAAGAAAGACATTTTCCCCGTACTATAACTTCCGTATACAGTAGACACATTACATCTCTTAAAATTAGTTATAGCCCTGAATTTTATATACCTTAGATCAAAATAGCTACAATTGTTAGCAAGTTACCAGTTCTAGGGATAAATACATTATAAATTTTAAATTTTAATCATCGATTTCAGTATAGAATATGATAAAGTTTCGTAATTCATGGTCTTATCCCTTCCATTTTCCTTTGGTTTGATAGTAAAATTTATTGAGAAAACAATTATTTAAACTGGAATATTCCACTCGTTAGGCGGAGTTACAATGTATGAAGCACAGTACTGCGTAAACTACCGTTCACTTACGATCGATGGAAAATCTCATAAATTTTTGATAAATTTTAAAATTTTCTAAAAGTCGCAAAAATTGATATCCTATTTCTTAACAGAATTTTTAAATGCAATGCCGTTATGCTCTTTATTTATAACAGAAAATCAATTTTGAAATTTCAATGTTATAACTTAGACACATGATTCCTTTAATACGGCAATGAGAATATTTAAGTGCGATCCAAGGATTATTAGGCAATGCTATAGGATAATATAAAGTTAACTTATGGTGCTAAAATATGATCTTTTAACGTAATCTAACCAATTATTACTACCTCAATACTAATCTAAAATTTAATGATTAATTCTGTGTTGTACTATAGCTTAACTTAAACTAAAACCAGCTACGAGGAGAATTCTAATTATTTCCTTACTGTAGCCATAATTTATGATACCATAGTCCACAATTCAAAGTAAGAATAAAACTAGAAAATAACTTAAATAGTAACATTCAATATTATACCAATCCTAAAATTAAAATGCAAGCTGTCAATATCTTGGATCCGTAGTTACTCCTATAGATTGTTGATTTTTTAGTAAAATATTCTTTTCAACCTTTGTAAAGTTGTATGATCGCATAAAAAATCGACCTTAGCGTCGGAGGGTAACAGATATTTCACTTGGCTTTTCATTAGTCACAGTAACTGTTTTCTCAACAGGTTCGTATCCTTCGGCTTCAACTCGAATAGTATATGTTCCAGGTAATAGGATTCGCCAGAAATCGCCATCTTTGGCGGTTGTAACGGTTTTACGATCTTCGATCATAATTCTAGCATTAGGTATACCTGATCCCTTTTCATCTCTCACAACACCTTTAACACCGCGATGAGCTTGCTTCAAAAAATTAAGCATCGCATATTTGTTGTCTTCCCAAAAGCTTCTTATCTCTTTAGCTAGAGGATATTTGACACAGCTTAATTCTAATGTGATTTCAAAACAGTTTGAACGTTTATAATTGAAATCTTGCATGCCGCCATTGACCGGATACCAATTAGCGCCATTTGTAATGCCATCTTTGAAACTTTCCCCATCACGTTGATGTGGACATGCTGGTCCACTTTTAGCCATTCTGCGATGTGTAAGAGAATAAGATTTAGATATAAAACGGAATACATCATCGTCGTTTGTTGCAGAATAACGTCTAACTGATCCAGGATTAGTATCATATGGGTAATTGGCAACTAAACTTCCACCGTGAAGATTTGCAGAAATAACAAATGGGGAACGGACAATCCAATTCATCAACGCTCGTGTTTCTGGTTCTGCATTTTTAGAGCTTTCTTCTGCAGTTCTACCGTAACGATAGACAAAATCAGGAAAGTTACGATTTAAGTCGATATTATTAGCATTACGACGTCCTCGTACTCCTTGGGCATCGCCTTCAATAGCTCGTTCATAACCATCAGGATTCATTGAAGGTAATAAATGAATTCTAGTATTATCGATGAATCGACGGATTTCAGCATCTTTTTCATAATTTTTACATAGGTAACGGCTAAGATGCAAGATCAATTCCCGACCAATAACCTCATTACCATGCATATTACCTACGTATTTTACCTCTGGTTCGCCAACTTCATGAATTCCTGGATTATCAGAAATTTCGAGAACCATTAACGATCTGCCTTGAACTGATTTTCCAATACTATACATCCTGGTAATATGAGGGTAATCACTACGAACTTTCTCCATAAAGGCAATCATGGCGTCGTAATTATGATGAACGAAATCATTAGAACTGGAACTGGCAACTGACGCAGAGTAAGCCGCAGTTATAAGTAAGAAGCAAATTTGAAATACTTTCCACATCTTAGTATTTTGAATTATAACAGTTGTCAGGAATTCCTAAGAAAAGTGTAAGTTGAAGCTAATTAGAAGTATTTCTAAACAAATAAAAAGTAGTAATATTTTTAGGGCTACCCTACGTACGAATAGCGTCAATTCTCTTATCACAATAACTTTAAATTAGGCAGCGTTGGCTAATAAAAGGGCCAACAAAGTACCGAACCAAATGAACGTTCTTCAAATTCACCCACTAGTAAAAAAAATATATCGAAAGATAAAACAGATAAAACTATAAGGAAAAATAGTTGCGATCAAGATAATAATAATAATCAATAATTGATAAACTTATTTATAAGGAAGTGAATCATAAATCGAGTTATAAATAGAATTTCTATCGGCCACATCAATACAAAATAAGGGGGTTGTTTATGAGAGAGATTTAGATATATAAATTTATACAGTGTAGGCTACTATAAATACTCACTAATCAGCTTTAACAATACTGAATGAATATGATATAACTAGATGCACCTGTCATCTATTTCAACATCAATATTTTATTGTATAATGATTAGTGGATTAAGTATCGCCATTTATAAATGCAAGATCGGTCTATAATAAGTTAAATATTATCTGTGATAGCTATTCTTTCTCGTCAATCATCTCCTTATTGTAGGATGGATTGAAGAGAATTTTGAATGAATAATTCTTATTAGATACGCTAAATCATGATAGTAATAGAAACAAATAATTTCAGTCAGAATATAAAATATAAATTACAGTTATCACTTAAGTAAAGTAAACTATCCACGATGGTGAATGTATTTTGAAATAATGCTGGTCATAGGCTCATATTTAAAAATTAAAGGAAAAAAAATATTAAAATAATAGATTAAAAGGCAATTTAATGTGTACTTCTTTCGTTAAAATGAGCTCAGTATATGCTGTTGCTAGACAATTTAAAGCCTAACTTACGGAAAGACACATATTCGATCTAGCTTAGAGTTATTAGCGTTAAATAAATATTCAGTAACAATCTGACTTAGCTACAATTCAATCTAGGATGCCTCGCAGTCATTTCTATTAGCTATAAATAAATTTTTAGCGTAAACATGTATAATACTTTAGCTATCTAACATTAAAGCTAATATTACTGTAATTAATAGAATGTAGGCGTAGATAATTCTTAACTGCAGTTATTGTTCAATCTATGTAATGAAACTAACGATAGAAATTATTAGCCATTAAAGAGAGAGAGAAATGAAAATTTTTTGCTCCATCTATCGAACAGTTAGTTAGTTACCAGACCATGGACGAATAAGTATTCAAAACTAATGAAATAAAGAGGCCATGTACTGCTGTTAAAGTATCTGCTCTCTATGTAGTTGTAACTATTCTAAATTTATTGCATCTGTAAGGAGTCTAACTAAATCAGATCATAAGGATGAGATCAATAAAAATAAATTAAGCTCTACTACAGCCACTCCCTTATTAATTACGACAATATCAATTAGAGTCGATAATTTGATACATGTCTTAATCCTAGTAGCGTCATATTCGTAGACTTGAAGTATTAATGATTACTCAATTCTCACATTGCACATATCAGCGTTCATCTTTCTTAATAACTGTAAATTATTCCTCATTTAATGTTACTAACTGTGCGATCGTAAAAATATCTATTTATGACTAACTTCATCCATGATTGAATATAGCTATTCATTATAGTACCGGTAACAACATTAACCCCATCTATGATTGAATATAGCTGTTTAGTACAGAATCGTTAGTATTGCAATTTCGGTTGATTCGGTATCAAGCCTTCTTATTAATCATAAATTCATCAATTTTGATCATATAAAATGCTATCAGCGAATGATATATCACGCAGCACGGAAAAATTACAGTGGTAATAGGTGAATTACTAATTTGCAGCCCAATTCATCACTACAATAAGCTTGATAACCGACAAATACAGTACTCGTAAATTTACCTTTAGCATGATTCTGGAAGAGACATTTTGAACTGATAAAATGCGTGAAATGCTTAACTGGTTTTCAATTATAATATTAGTTCTACAGCTATTTAATCTTCTATTATGAAATTTTAACTAGCTATAGCGAAGAATGAAGTCTAATTGCCGGCAATACGATAAAATCAATACGCATTTGACTGTGTTTTTCCCTATTTTTCCATGTCCAAATCAACTCCATGTTAAAGCAAATATTAGATGATATCCTAATCCGTCATTGGGCAATAAGGACTACTATTGACATATTGGAAGAGCGATAGATGGACGGACTACATCATTAATGTCCAATTCAATAGGATGGCAAAATATATTTAAAGCATAGTAGAAAATATATTCTGAGACAGACATTATTGACTATTCAGCATCTTAAACAGCTCATAGTCAACATGAATTATTATAGAAAGAATAGAGGGAACTTTAAATATTGATTTCTTATACTAATGCTGCCGAAAATGCATAATACTATTTTCTGTTAATAACTTAAACCTTTTCCACTCCTACCATAACTTATAATATGGCTACAACATTTTCCATGGATATCATTTTCTCCAGAATTGTTGACTTTAGAAGCAAGTTGATTCAAATGATGCGAAAGAAAGGTAAATGTGACGATGTTTACGAAATCTTCAACGATAGGAAAAATGATCGTGAAAAATTATTCCGATCATTCTTGATGGCATACAGGACACTACTTAGTAGATATGTCTGACGAAAATATGGCAATTCTATCTAGCCTATTATTGTCTATCATGACAGTAAAAAAGTTAATGGACTTATTCCTCTTTCTTAATCTACTTGAGAAACAAATAAGACCAGGAAAAAGTCATTAATTAAAATGGCCGTAATCATAAGAGTAAATCTTCTACGGGGCAATTATAGGTTTGTTGCCTTTCGCTCGTTCGTGTGTTTAAGTATACTGTATAAGGGAAGTCTCAAACTATGCCAATGTATGGAAAGGGTGAGAAACCGCCAACATCCTTTAGTAGAAGTTAATAATTTTCTTACAGTAGCGATGTTTTATCAAACTATATTCATACTAATCATTACGTGAGAAAGAGAATGTACGCGTATAAATATAAATTGACGAGAAAAGAAAACGAAAAAGGAAAATGCTACCAAGCTAATAACTATTCCTATCAAGGATAAAAACTGAACTGAAGATTTAAATAATCATTTCCTTGGGGATTGCCTATTTATCACAAAGCGTACACAGTAGAGAGGAATAAAGTCTTATCCTTAAATCGCCAAAGGGTCATAAAAAAATAAAATCTACAGAACAGATATACAGTACAGTAGTGATCCTAACTACTGTCTTAAATCTGTTAGTGAAAGGATCTCCAAAATAGATACACAACTTAAAAATAAGATAAAACCCCATAGAGTAAATCAGTAAAATTACGATTTCTATCGAGATATTTAAGAATATCGTGCACTTCTGTGATTTAACGGTTGCATTAGCAAAAAACTACTACGACTGTATTTCTTGCACTTAAAATGTCATCAAATCAATTTCGCACCATCTATTACAGTTATCCACGAATAAAACTGCCTAGAGTAAATCAGTAAAATGACGATTTCTATCGAGATATTAATAGAAATCGTGAACATGTATGATTTAACGGCTATATTATTCCCCAAAAGACTACTATGACAATTTTTCTTGAACTTAAATCTCATCAAATCAATTTCTTGCTATCGATCATCGTTCTCCACTAATTCTAAAGCTAAAAGTTATCCTTATAAACTTACCTAATGGCCTGATAAATGATTAAAAATAATTCCTGTCGCAATCGAAGTAGAATGTGTATTTAGTGATTATCGTTACTGTAAGACTAAGTGACGAAAACGATTACGCGCAAGGGATACTTGTAGTCAATTGTTAACTGAAATGAATAAAAGTTCTATTAATAAATCTCCTTTAGTCTCTTTTCTCTATTCTCTTTGATTAATTTCCTTCGTAACCACAACATTCATATATCGTCATTATGCTTCTGCATATTGTTCTACGTAATGTCCAACCTTTATTCATCGACGGCAATCAATACAATGGCATGAACAAGGGATTCTAATTGAAATAGTGGTAGATAGAATAGGATATTAATATTTGCTACGACTAGTAGTAACCAACGAAGATTCAAGCTAGCATACTGAAACTGTGGTAAGGATCGATCTTGGAAAAGATTATAGTATTGTGTTAGCTTGATACTCACAGTTTGCAATAATATTCTTTTAATATTAGATCTTCTTGAATACACGGCAAAATCGCCATCAACTTTGATTAACAGCTATACCCTGTTACCATTCAGCTAGGATGAACAAACTTGACAATTTATAGGTCAAATTCTGATGCTTTTGATCAACTAATACACCACTATATGAGTAGAGCCCATATATGTGGATGCAAGTAGATCTCTTATATAGAGATCCGTATTAAGTCTCCTTATGAGGTGATTACTTATTCTACGACAAGTTATTTCATGCTCCTAATTTGCATAATGATATTGAAGTGCAAAGATAATTTCCTTCGTCAAACTACCATTAACTCAATTTTGATGCATTTCTGAACATCTCTACTGTTGAATATTTATCTATTGGAGTCTAACGAATTGGTCACGCTAAGCTATAGTAATTTCTACTAATATTTAATCGATTAGAACATAAGCCATTCATTTCATATCATATCAAAATTATGGGTATGACTGTCAAACGAAAACACGATCTTATGTGTATTTACAGTTTGGTATAAAATGCTTTTCCAGCTATCCCATTTGGCTTTATGCTATCCTCCAACTGCAGTATGTATAGAAGTAGTAGCAATCATATTTTCCACCTCCAACTCTCCATAAACCGAATACTTGACGTCAGCAAATGATTAATACAAATTTATATTTAGCGAAATCAATGATGAAAAGATTTGAATAGAAAACAACTCTACAGTAAATATATCAAATAAAAATAATAATTATTTTTTATAAAATAAATTGTAATAAATAACATTTCTTATAATTCAACATACAAGTAATAAATCTTCATTCTAACACTGTCTCCGATTTCTCCCTTATTATATTTTAATTTCTTTCGTGACAACGATCATTTCCATTTCCATTATCTCCACTATAATGTGGTTAAATTGTTATGATGACAAAGATACCATCTGAAACTGAGCTACAGTAGTATCGAGTATGGCTGATGCAGCGAATATAAAATGCAAATATGCGGGTGCAACGCTAATTCGTTTCAATTTTCTCTTCGTAAGACAAGGAAATTCCGCTAAATTATGAAATCATTTCTATTAATATTAGGTGCCAAATTCTGTCAAAAATAGCTATCAACATAATCAAATTTTTGTTGTAACTGGTCACAGTCATTAATATATATATAGATATAGATGTGTAGTTTATGATAAAAATATTTTGTTTTGAACTATTTAGAAGTACGAGCTACTACTTTAGGAATTGTTATTCTTAGTAATAACCTGAGTTATTATGATATTATGATGAAATAGTAATATGTTACAAGTACGTATCGAGAACATAGGAACTTGACAGGGCTTACAGTCGAAGTAGATTTACGTTTGAAACTGTTTATTACCTCGAATGTCCGTATTTGATAATTCAATCGTAATAACATGTTTGTTATTGAAATAAGTTAACAGCATAGTAAATATGTTTATAACTACTGCAAGAGTATATAAGAAGGACTGTGATCAATATAAAGTAATACAGATTATGGCTAAGTTGTGTGATAGTTTTATATTGCATATTGTGTTGAGCGAGTTAGTACTTCGCAAGGATTCCAGTTACTATACCGTAAGCTAGGAAAGCAGTTCTACGGATAAACAAATCTTTATTTACAGCAGAGAATACACTCTAGGAGTACATAAATTTCGCTACCACGCTATTTTAGCAAATTGAAGTCTTAATAGAAAATACTGAGTAAAATAATACAAACAATCATTAAGGCATCATAAAACTTTTTGCAGGTAAACAAATCCTATAGAGTATCAGCATCATAAAAAATTCATTTGCTATCATGACTACCCAGTAACTGTAACTATTTCCATTGAAGATCTCAAGGAATTTACATTTTCTGATATCAAAACAACTTAGTCAGAATTTAAATTCGAAAGAGAAAATCATATTATACTGACAAAGTTAAATCCCCATTCCTATAGTCAAAAACTTGGATTAATAGAAGCAAATGAATAATTTGAACACATGATTAGAAAGTTATATGCTAATTTTATAGATTCAACTGTATTTTAATTGGCAATCCTAAATCGAATATTGTTGTCTTATAAAGTAAAAAATTTTTTCTTGGCTTATTGTCATGAATAGATTCTAAAGTTGCCGTAACTAATCATGGATCAAGTATGATTTTGTAGGTAAAGCTGAATGTATGTATTCAGCCATCAAACAGAATATCGCGACCAATATTTAAGAACTGCAGATTGATAGCTTTATCAATTCTCTTTCAGCAACAAGCAAACTCTGTAAATCTATCATGTAAATTTTTGTGATCTGACTGAATAGATCGGTTTTGATATCAGTGATTAATTAAAAATTTGATTGAAAATTTTGTGGAGAACGTAATCTAATATAATATGGCCAATGATATATCTAAAGCCGTAGACTGCTTATAGTCCTACTTATCCAATGTTGCCATTGGAGTGCACTTCCAATAAAAGTTGCGCATAAATAGTTGATTTACACCGCAATTTAGTCGAACTTCAGCGTATCGGGTGTCTTCGACGATGTCTTAGGCGCCATCGAGGAAGGCAACTTATTAAACGGCACTAATTCCTCTTAAATGTTGTTTCAATCCAAGTTGCTAATAGAGGTGCCAATTTCAGAAAAATTATTGCTGCTTACCTTCCGCAATGGTGATTGCAATATCGTCGAAGACACCAAAATCTCGAAGTTAGGGCGAAATTATTGGCAATTAATTCTTTCACTAATGTTCATTCGTAAGCCCAAATGTCGGTACTAATGTAACATTTAGCAAATTGTCTAGTGAGTGGAGGCGAATATCTTATTCTTAGCTACTTGGTTTTGCTGTCGTAGAATGTCGATTATTAACCACTGCAGCTAAATTATTAGCAGCTGTTATCTTGTAATGAGTAATCGCCGAATTTAGTTGAAAATCATTACTTTCGCCGTAGTATAATGTATGATCCCCTCAAATTTGAAACAGTTGTTGAAAGTTTAAAAGCTAATATTAAAATTAAACTAATATGTGATAAGAATTTATTAGTTTTAAATCTAACGAAGAACAACAGATTGATTATATGAAGATATAGTTAAATTAAAATTAAATCAGTGAAGGTACAACAATTTAATAGAAAGCCGTCTAATTAAGAAAAAGGTGCTGGCGATAAAGTTTTATCTCCATTATAAAATAAACACTGTTGAAGTGCCAAATACATGGTCTTCAGTTCGATTCCAGTACCTGAATAAGGTAAATCAATCCGATGCGATTTAACCCTTTGAACAAGTCAAGATATTAGAATTGATATCAAGGGACTAAAGAGTAGTTGGATAATGTAGATCCAGTCTATGACCAATTTGACATTCCGAAAGATTAAAAGTCCATCGTAGCAAAAGCAAATTACACAAAATAAAGAGGAAAAAATACCTCATAAGGCCTTTATTACAATTAATATTGAGAAAAATCATGTCAGGATGTAGGGTGAAAACAGCGTGACCCATTGAGCGGCTATAGCAAATAAAATGGGTAAAATGTGCAAATTTATCGTGCAACTAGCAGAACTAAATAGTCAAATAGACGACTAAGAATCGCACTTATAACATAAGAAGCTCCGCAGAAGAGTACCGGTATTGTTATAATTGAAAAAGAGAGATTAGTAAAGCTTACTTTTAAGTTACATATTGCTTCAGCGTCATCAAACCATATTAGAAATAGAATTCTACCTAATAAATTGTGAAAAATAAATCGTTCACACGCCCAACTGCACTATAGTGTTATCAAAGCCAACTTCTGTTAAGAATAGACTATTTAATCTATGGTAAAGTGCAACAATCGAATAACTATCGTATAGTATCGATAGGATAGGGAAACTTCTGGTACTGTGCAGATCGATCATCCGCAACATTATGTTTACAATCCTTAGCAACATAAAACTGAAGATAGTTGGTGCTCTTGTATGCAGCCATCTTTGCTATATTTACTTAATATCGCCTTTTTCAATACTTCTATAGTTTCAATGGTCACATCCTGATGGGATTGATAAAAGTCAAGCGTAATGATAATCAATTAACACGTATGGAAAATATTTGTTATAGTAGTTAATATCAGGTAAAGCTCCATAAAAAAACTAATTTTTCATTTATTTTCTACTACATTAGTAATTACCTTTGCCTGAAATTGAACTATATCTTTTATTAGTATATCTAATTTGTGATCACGGATATAGCCATTATTGTCTTATTTAATGAGATCAAATTTATTAACATGGAGAAAGGATTACCTACAGAATTATTGAATTATCAAGAATTAAAATCAACATTTTCCTTATTCTAAAATCGATATTGCTATTCCGATATTCACTAGAGAAACTACTGATGTTTCAACTTGCTAACCTTATCATAGTGATTAAAGATATTCTGAAAGTCTTCTTGGCTCAATTTAGCATTCTTTTAATTGCAAAGAGTACTGCTGATTAGTGAATTAGATAAACACTTCGATTAAAGTAGAATCGTTCATTTATATATGTGTTCTACCATAAATTGCTTAAGATAGTTGCCTTCAGTTGGTATCAACCTAAAAAATATTAGAGAGAAGTCAGTTTTTGTATTCGTAATATTCTACATATCATTTAGACTACATATTTATGATCACTAAAGTGCAAAGACTTATTCATGACATAAAATTATACCGTATGATGATTAAACTAGTTTGCTAATTTTAGCCTTACAATCTTTCTACAATATTGCTGCACTTTGAACTTACTGAACACAGTAATGTTGTAGGGCATTGAGAATATAGTCCAAGACCATATCAATTTTGCTATAATCAAGGTACCCTATATATCAAATTTGAGCCCTAACAGAAGATACCTACTCTCCAGTAGTTAAATTGAGTTATATTGGTAGTTTGTGCTCTGCTTCTAATTTATGAGCCTGTTCGAATTACGACTACAAAACTTATTACTAATCCTTATCTAAATAAATTGATTGCAGTTATCATAAGCGAATTAGAATCAGGGTACACTATTTTAGCGAATTTGAGGCCTAACGGAAGCTATATAGTCTGCAGTAGTTAAATTAACGTTGCACAGGTAATTTGTGCCTTATATGCAGCTTATCAGTATATTTAAAAGGAAAATCTCCAATAGTAATTATAAAATTAACTACTAAAGCTTCTATTCAAATATTGTAATTATAATTATTATAAGCAAAATAGCAATATTAAAATTTCAATAATTTATGATTATATCCAGAATACAGCATACTCATTCTTGGCAAATTTATCCGTTTTTTTAGAAATTTGGTATTGCGTATCAATCTAATCATGATTCTTTAAAGGTACTAACAGATTACAGTATATTCAATCTTTCTCTGTCATAATTAAATTTTTAAGTCATTCTTCTCCATCCAAGATTAATTATCCTTGATTCAAACTAAATACAGCACCGGTGTTTGTATATTGCCGTCAAAATAATATCATACAACTTAAAATCTACAGGTTAATAATTTTATTCATTTTTCAGCCACAACTACAGCATCTAAAATCCATCATACAAATCTTATTCAGTATAGAATCAAATTTATCAATTTTATTTTCTGCTGTCCATTAAAGTTAGTAATACCAATTTCATGAAGGAAAATGTGATCCATCAAGATTGAACCAATGATAGAACTATTTTGAGGAGATATGATACAAAAATTTATTACTTTTTAGCTCTTAATCGGATAGATAATAATATAAATCTGTCGTAAATAAAAATATTCAAAATATTGTTTGACGAGAAATTTAATGATGGTGCTTTTTAATGCTTTTCTTGAACTCTCTTTCTAATGCTTTTTGATCCTTTCCTGTAGATTCATCGAATACTGGTTTATTGACGACAGCTTCGTGAAGCTGAACAAAAAATGGTATGTAGGTCATAAACTCCACAAAATCGATCGTTCCTATCGAGAAAGATAAAATTTGGTTCAGAAAATGCCAAGAAATGAAGTTCGATCCCAATTTTATCTGTACTCATTTAATTATTTCTTAATTATAATTTTAACAATAAGGATAAGCTAACAGTTAATAGATACTGCTTCGATTTGATAGTCATAACTACTACATCATAGCGCTGAGAAACTGAATCTAGATCGATTGCGATATCAATGTCGCTTTGTCCAAGTATTTCATATCTCACCACTATGATCCTTGTCAATTAAATGGACTAATTTGCGAACAAAATTTCTGTTGGTTCCTAATTTGATACCAATAGCAGCAGAAATCATAATGGATAATTCAGATGTTAACAAGTAGCCATCTTCGTCGTGATCAATTAAGGAGAACATTTCCTAATGATAAATTTCGAAAATGACACGGAAAATCAGTTATGATCCGGGCACGCTCTTGTCAGATTGTTTTAACTTTGATATCGATTTGTTACTTGTATATTTTCAAGTGTATTCATTACTATTTTAAGGCTTCCAAGTTTATGAGGTATATACAGACATGATGATTTATAGATATCAATAGCAACCCTAAGGCGATGGTTTACTTAATGACAACTTACCCTATAACTACGTAATAAATGAGCTAATCGATCCAAGTCGAATTCTAGTAGCGCCTCTTCGTTGATAGTTCTGGTCAAAGAAAGTGATGATCTTGTTAGAAAATTGGATCAGACTGTACCCACTCTTTAAATTTATTTATATATTCTAAATCATAATATGGGCAGTATGCTTCTGTGTGTTTCGTATCAGCAATCGACGATGACGATATTTGGTTATCATAGACTAGATTGAACTAACCTGGAGCCCGAAAGCTTATCGTTTAAAGACGCAATAACGATAAATTCCCGCACATCAATCTCACCATCCCCGTCAAGATCAAATAACTAAGGAGAAAAATTTTTGTCGTTATATAAAATAAATTTAATACAAAATTTTAGTTTCAATTTTGCATGTCGATGCCTCTCTTTCAATACTGTTTTACTTCAAAACGATTTAAAAGCTAAAATTGATACTTAAAGCATGAAACTACGGTAGTGGAAAAAACTGCAGACTGAAATGGTATTCCCTGATCATAATATCAAGCATAAAATCAGAAAGTAAAATATTGCCGTTGCTTATATAGGAATATTTTTAATTACAGACTCTCTAACTTACATTCATCAAATTTTTAACCGCATGATCATCGACAGAGGCAAACATTTTCCGCCTTAATTCCTCTATTGAAACGCGATGATCACCATTAACATCCAATTGCTCAAATTTAGCTTCAAATGCCTTGCGCTGCGGTTCGCTAGTAAAGGTATACATGGCTGGCAACTACAACGTTTGGAAATAATAATTCATAATTGTGAGAATGATATTCAATTTGGATGATAATAACGCTTTATTAGCAAGTAGAACGAATATGGAAGAGATAGCCGTCTTCCTTAACACTAAAGGCCAATAGCCCTACTTGGAAATTCTCATCATCATCATCGTCGCTTTGCATCATCAAGCTTAGTTCACTTCTAAGATCGCTAATAGTGGAAGCAGTATCATCGTATAAACCGCTATTGGATTGCAAACGAAGGAAGGACCTGGAAATAAATCAACATGATGATGACAGCTTTAGTAAATTCATTTTTAGTCAAATAGGCCATTTAGTTTAATTCATAAATGTCTATCTCGATGCTATCCATCGGTATTATAGCTATCAATGAATCATCTGATAATAAAAGTTCTTCTGGCTGAATTACTCACTCTAATTTATTGAGTCCGCTGGGATTGTCGTGTAATAATTTAATTGGATCATAACCAGCACTACTTAATTCTCCAATACTTCTTATGCGAATACTAATTAAAGAAAAAATTTTAGTATAAAATTCTTGATCGTTTCTTTGTTACCTTTGTTGAAATGACATTTAATAGAGATGATAGGAAGAAAAATTGAAAGTAATCAATATTTAAAGTAATGATCAGATCTCGCTCTCTTAATACTTTCATGATGATCATCATCCTCCTCTTACTTTTTAGTACTAGAAAGATGGCGACGTCTTGTAGTATCTTCTTTTTTATGCTTGCTAACGATGGTACCACTTAAAATATGGGTTGGTGAAGAACTTCGACCACTTTTACTCTTTCTATGCCCAGTTTTCTTCAAAGGACTCTTTTTGCCTACTTCAATTTCACCATCATAAATTCGATGGTATTCTCCATCGGAACTACTCTTTTTACTGATACTCAATTCATCAATTGCCCTTAAGCTAGAAGGGCTAACCGATTTTCTTAATTCTCGCTTGGATTTTGCTGATGATGTAGCAAGGTTTTGAGTCAGTTTGTTCAAAGAGCTATCGCTATGCCGTTGAGCACTCTTCAAAATCAATCTCGATGCGCTCCCTTCATCGTCGCTAGCAAGACTCCATTTCGGTAGTTTACTACTACTATCAGAGGTTACCGTATCTTTGCGTAAATTTCGAAGAAACTCAGCCCTCTTGGAAAAGAGAAAAACATCATGATTGTAATTGGGCAGTACTGGCTCTTTTTCTTCCTTAGAACTATGTGGATTGTTGTCTTCATCTTCATCAAGAGTCCATCGTAGACCTTTCTTAATTTGAATAGCAGACGAAGTAATTGATTTTTTAAAAGTACGTTTTCTTAGAATGGATTTTTCTGGTTTAGATGGTGATATCGCTGGCATTCCATCTTGATCCATTTCATGCTGATCAACAACCGGTGCAACCGATGATAGATTGTGCTGTTGATTTTTCGATTTTTGTTTCAGTTTTTGTGTTCTTGACTTTCTTGGAATGGTAGGTTTTCTTCTGGAGGTAACAAACTTAGCTGCTCTACCTTGAATACCTAATGAATGCAGTACATTAATGGGTTCAATCTCTTTTTCATCTACTGGTAGCGAACTAGAAGGTTCTTGTTCTATGATTTGGGGCTCAGGATAGCTTTCAGTAACAATTTTGGTTTCTACTTGATTTAACTTTGTATTACTTGGATCTTCGGGTACAAACTGTCCGTACTCAACACTCTGTAGACCTTTTCTTAATGGTTTCCCACCCCTTCTTTTGATATCGAGATAGATTAAATTTTCTCTTTTATCATACTGATTCCTGGGAGAAGTATGTAAAGCAAGACTTTCCGCCAAATTTTCAATTTCATTTTCTTGATCTTCGACATCAGACTCCTCTGTTCCTTCTGATAGCCGGCCTATGGCACCTTCTCGCAATCGTTCATCCTTAGACTCATTCAATGTACTCTAAAATAGTTGAATCCAAATTACATAGAGAGTTAATACTCACTATAACATGATATTGTAATTCCTAAATTATATGTGTATAATTATTACACGGAAGCGGCGTTAAGAATAAGTAAATTAAGGTAACCACTTGACCTAGTACTTTATTCTATTTTGTGAGAAATTACTGTATAGGCGTATTTAAATTAGCTGAGACTGTTTAGATTGATAATTTGAGAAATTGATTATTTTTAAATTTTGCCGATAGAATATCTAGAAGTAATTTAATTTTCTTCGCTCTCTACAATTTATTATATATGTCACGGCTATATACTATAATTATAACCACTATGTTGGTACTTGGCCTTATTTGGTGAGAAATGACTGTCTATACGCATCATTTAAATTAGCAGAGACTGTTATAGGACAATAATTCGTAAAATTAATCATTCCTAAATTTTCGCTATAAAATATCCAAGAGCAATTCGATTTACCTCGCCATCTTCTGTAGTTAGATCAAATTCAAGAGATTCTAAGGGATCACAAATAGGATTAAAAGAAATGAAATTTGGTTACGATTACATACAGATGACGAAAAGAAGAGAAAGATTCTCCAAGTTACAACGATATGTATTTCTTGACAGGTAGCGTTAGCTATAGAAATATCTCCAAATTTTTAAAACCTTGAGCTGCTTTAATCCTACTTACCTATAGTAGAAACTGGAGTGCAAGTTAAAATTTCCGACTCACAAACAGCTGGTTTATAAGCTCTAAATTAAATTAAGTAAGGTATAGCAATCAGTAAGAAATTTTGTCTAATAGAGCGAAAGGAGCTAAAATAAAATATTATTTAGAGGATGAATTACCTAGCCTTTAATTCAAGTCCGGTACCTGCCATATAATATGACCGATCAACTCGATGCGATTTAACCTATCATAATAATCAAGATGTTAAAATGGATGACATAATAATAAGGTAAGTTCAGGGGAATATTTTCTGTCTGAAATTAACTCTTGAACTTACAAACATTAGTTTTTGCCTCATTCGACTATTATTAAATTCAGAATATCGAGCAAGAAATCGTTCGGGCTGTGCAACCGTTGGTTTCTTCCTGACAACTTCAGTAGGTAACAATTCATAGCTATAATCATATAGATTGAAAGCAAGGTAAATTGAAATTGAATGACCTACTGATTAAAGTTAACGTTGATTAAGCTCAAAGCCTACTATTTTTCTTCTTCAGTCTTACCTTGGGACTTTATCGTCTTTACAGTCTTCTAAATTTTGCTACAAAGACAGAAAGACTGAATTAAGCCGGGGGAATAAACGAAATAGTCACGAATCGATGTGAAACTAAGCTTAACCTACTGCTACCGTTAGATTGAGGGCAGTCATGGACTACTAAATTCATTAGATGCTTACATGAAGTTCATTTTATCCTACTACGTAGCTTAACGAAGAAGCTTATTTTATATCTTACAACAATTCCATCATTGAGCTAGCACTTTAATATCAGATTATCGACAACGAAAGATGGCTAGCGTATAGGCTAAAGTTATTAGTGAAATTATCACTTAGATTTTACCGGTACTTAATTGCTAGCTTATAAATAACTGAAGCTGCCAAAAGCAATCAAATTTATTATTTTCCACGCTATATTTGAGGCATAATTTGACTAATCAATTGGATCAGGAGTTTTGAAACATGCAAATTGAAAATTACGACTATTAATAAATTGACCTCTGATTTTCTACAAGATAAGGCAAAATCATTCTTCTAAAGAATATATCAGATAGCTTTTCTCCCTTGATTGAACATCAAAAGCAGTTCCATATTGCAAAATCTGCTGTTCTGACATTGATTTAATGTAATGGAAGTAATAACTTCAACGTAAATAAAATAATTTATAATAGGCGAAAAAATTTTTCAATTCTACTTAGCGACTATGAAAGATGACTAGTGTATAGGGTTAAAATTATTAGTAAAATTATCACTTTGATTTTGCCGATACTTGAATACTAGCTTATACATAATTGCAGATGCCAAGTACATTAAGTCAGAATTTTCCTTATAAAGAATATATCAGCTAGTTTTTCTTTCTTGATTGTATATTAGAAGGAGTTCTACATTACAAAATCCACTATTCTGGCATTAATTTATAGTAACACAAGTAATAACTTCAGCGTAAATAAAAAATTTGTACCAGACGAAATTTTTTCTCACCATAACGAAATGAACAACCTCATCAACACCTTAATCGTTTTAAGCTATACAAGTTAGTATCAACAATAAACATACCACATAATTAATTTTAACTTTTTGTTGGATTTTAGTGAAGGAAGGATGAGGCTCTGGTTTAATGGTTACCTTATCCGGAATGTCATAATTTGGAGTTCTCACAGGAGAAGATCTACAGAAATAAACAATTTTATCAATTTCCCATATTGAAATTTTACACCGTTGTTATTAATAAATGATAATTTAGAGATAGACCACAATTAGCCACGGTTCACTAACACATTTCGTTAACACTTAATATTAGAACGTTATAGAAGTATTCTTTCTTTCAAGATTGGATAAAAATCATGATTTCAATGATAATCAAGCTTAAGAAAATTCAATTTAGCGTACTTGTAATATCCTGGCAATGTATCTGGTTTGAATTGGATTGGACTTTTAGGAGTAGCAAATGGTAGCTAAAACCATAATTTGTCAAATTATAATTATGAGAAATTTCGCATTTTTCTACTGACAATATTACACTATAATCGTGATGTTGAAAATCGAAATAGAATTAAAAATATGAAAAGTTTCTTGAAATTGACGGTGATAAGCATCCTTTACGCATTAATTCACTCACTGGGCAAAGCGTTGGTTCTTCTCTTTCTATTGGTTTTGTTTGGAATGTTGGAAGGGAAGTAATGGTGGATTGTGGCGATACTGGTACCTTCATAGGCACAGTAGATGCAGAAGCTGTTCTTTTATGGCTGGAACTTGAAGCATATCGTCTGGACATTTCAAGTCGGGCAGAATATGTTGTATATGGCAAGCTTTTATGAACCATCGATGCATCTGGTATCTCCAATTCGGGATCGCCGTTTGATTGTGTTATAAATACTCTTCGAGCAGGTTCCGATTTTGGCCTTCTCCTAGTAAACTGTCTTTCTACTTGTCTCTTGATGTTTTTAAGTTGATGTGGCCCATAATATAACTGCGTCGTGTGGGATACAGTCTGCGGTCTTGGCTTAGTCTGATAATCAACTACAATAGAACACAGCATGATGTAGCAACCAATTTAATCACTTACAAAAGCTAGCATACGATAATATATGTAAACATACTCTAAGTAACACCACCATAGCATCGTTAAAATTAAGGTCTAGAACATATTTCTACCTATTCGACTTGACATTACTATATAATTTTAAAATCTATTTTCATCACTTTATTAGCTAAAATTAAAACAATCGCCAACGAGCTTTTATTTCTGATGTCATGTGAAATTGTATATTACTCATTGCTTACAAATAATACTCCACTCTACAGTAGTTTACTACTCTCGAAAAGTTTACTATAAAAAAATGGTTTAGATACTATCAACATTCTGTTAATATAGCGTACTTACCCATTTTGCCAATCAATTTCAAAGTCGTTTATACCGCAAAAAAAATACTTATCTAATACTATTTTATTGTACTACTAGCAAATCATCTCAATTGCATGATTCCATTATCATTGCTTTCTATCTTTTATTCGATATCTCATCTAGTGGTAGTCTATCTTGTCCTTTATCTCTTTATGCGTATACGAATTACTTCACAATAAGTGGATGTAACTTTAATCTAGTAGAACCTGTATCAATTTTAATTAATACTACGTTAATAGCTTCTAGTAGTGTAAATAACAGAACCTGCCACTAATACAATTTAACTAAGGTCGGACATGTTGTAGTTATGTTTTATATTTAATCAAGAATAGAATGTTGCCATAGCAACTTTCAGCGCGTTGAATATAGAATCATTTACCAATGCGACGAAATAATACTATGCCAATCAGCAACTAATTCTTTACAAAAATTATGCTAATAGGCTCCTGTAATAACATTTATAGCTATCGTTATTATCACCATATTACATACGATAGGATAATGAGTAATTTATGCGAGGAAGTATGATGTAAATGTCTACTATTGCAATCATGATGTCAATCAAGAGAGTTAAATTACGTCAAAAATATATGCATCCATAACATCATTTACATTGGCTTGGGTAGATAGCATTATGAGCTAAATAGAGCGCCATGAAGAAATCCAAAATTATTCCCATTATCACATAATGATGTACTTTCGGACAGACTATGCTCTTGGTAATATATGCTAGAGCTGCTTAAATAAGAGATCTATTAGGAGACGAAACAATGTCATTAAAAGTAAATTTTCGAACTTAGATTGATCCAAAAAGTCTTTACATAGCTGAAGTTGCTTCTGGTGAATAAATACGTCAACCTCTTAGGTAAATGCAGAAGCAAATAACATGAAAGAAATAAATTCTCAGTTTTTCTGCATTGCGTTCTATTCTGCAATAACCTATTTGTTCTGATCAGAGTATGACAATGAGTCAAAATTTTAAAGGCCCATAATACCAGCTTCGGCGTATATTACATAACTTGATTGTACTAAATTATAATAAGTTAGAATCACTCATTTAATCAGATGAACAACATGCAAAATGTAACCTTCAAGTGCTGCTAATGAACACCTACATATTAATAGTATACAAGGTCATATTGTAATAAATAATTTTTTACACAATCGTGACAACAAACTACTTCTGGGAATTAAATATCACTCCTGATCGTTTATTAATAAGTACCGTTACAATCGCTTATAGAATTAACTCAAAATACAATCTTTCAGTAATTACAGGAATTCCTGATTTATATGCAGCCACTGTAACTTTAATCATTTTTTATCTTACCAAAAATTATCAGGATAAAATTATATAATCTATAAATCTTACAGTCAGTATCAAGTTTAAATAATAATAATTAACTAAGCCTAATCATAAGATTGCCAATTTAATCTTCTCAACTTTACAAGCCAAACTGAAAATAATAGGATGAAATATCATTCAAAAATTTACGAATTTTATAGGAATTAAAATAGTTCAGAGTAATATCCTTCAGTACATATATCTATGTATCTCAATGTTCATAAATAATTAGAATTCAAGTTTTTAGTATTTGTACTGATAGTCTTAATATCTAGCTGAGATATAGCTTAAATAGGAACATCGGTATCATTAATATAGTAGTATCAAACTCATGCATCTTGTTATTCTTTGGTATAGATCAGACTATTGGTCCATGCGATTGGAAAAGTATCTGAATTTTTATCATTACTTAGAATTGCGTATCTATATGTATTACTCTGCTATGGTAGATCAATGACCTAAAGCTTGCTATAGATGTGTAATAGAATAAAAAATCTCTCCATAATATGGATCCAATTCATCACCAATAATTGCTATTTAGTATAAAGTTCCAATATATATCCATAATTGCAAACGTTTTGCCCAAAATAATGAAGATAAGAGAGACTTCATATCGTGCAACTCTATTTGCGACCTGGTAGTGATTTAGATCTATCATAACAGAAAAATGAGGCTAGTTCGTCCATTTGTAAGCGACCATCTTTATTTCTATCACATAGACTTAATAAATCCTTTTTCAGCCTTTCTATTACTCGAACAGTCATATCCTGCAATGGAATTGATAGAGTCAACTAAGATGATAACTATCACGTGGAAAATATATAGGAAATACTGTAAAACTAGATATCAGATTTAAATTTAGGAGCGAAACTAATTTGCTTTCATTGCTCCCATGCGTTGCTCAATTACCTTTCCATCAACTTGAACTAAATCCTTTAATAATCCCTCCAATTCGTAATCTTCAATGTAACCATTATTATCCTTTTCAAAGATGAAGTTATGACCATTAGCAAAGAAAATGAATTATAATTTACAAAATTACCAAATCGACTACAGTTAATGTGGCATTTTAATTCTGACCTTGTCATAATGATTGAAAACACTTTGAAATTCTTTCCTGCTTAGTTTAGTCTTGGTCTAATTATAACATATTATACCATATTGTAGGTATTTAGATTAGATGTCCATTTAATCAAAATAGAATCATTTATCTAACAGCTACATATTAACATAAAATTTTTTTAAATTATAACATATATTTAAATATTAATTGCTTAATATGTTTGATTTAGTCGAGCTCTAATTATAACAAATGCTGTATTGTGGATATTTGGATCAGACGTACATTTTAATCAAAATAAAATCATTTATCTACTAGCTATATATACCCCAAATTGCAGAAAAAAGTTATCCTCAACAGGCAGCATCCTGAAAAGGAGAAAATATTAGAAATCAGCACTTTTAATCGACATCACGATTGGGTAAAGTAAATGACAACATCTTCAGTTAATGTCGACAAATTATTTTGTACATCTGTGTTTCCTTCAAATCTAATTTGCCATCATTATTAAGATCGAACACTTCTAGCTGTGAAGAAAAGGACAAGAAAATTTCCCATTAAGCCTTCTTGTTTAACACTACATCAGTTTCGATTCAAATTTGGTAATGATCAATGTAATTAGTCAATATATTACACTTCTATATCGAAATAGATTAGTGAATTATACAGCATCTAATTTACTCAACTACTACAGCAATAGTATCTACATCAGGTACTTACGGCTCCTCGGGTATAGTTTTCAACATCAGTTAAGCTTACAGAATCTTTACCACGGCGTAAGACGTCTCGAACTAATCCCTAAATGAAATACAAGTATACCAATAGATACTTCATTAGCGCAAGATTAAGGTTGGCTAAATAGCAAAATTGACTCACTTTCATTTCATCTTCTTCAAGATATCCACTGTTATCCGCATCATAGTGGTGCCAAACCTGTAATCGATATTCAACTGATTTAATGAACGGTTAAAAAAGTCTAACTTTAATCCTCGCAAGTGAGGATCCAGTACTGTAAGATTCATATAAATTTGGTAGCTAATGACGTAAGTCCGTAAGGCATTCTGTGCCTTTACTTTAAGCTACAACCATATATAATATGAAAATTAATATTATATCCGTATAAGAAATGCCAAGCTCTCCTATAGTCGCTATTTAACTAGCTAATATTTCCAAGAGTAAGCAATGTTAAACTAATGCACTGTATCAATCATAAGCGGCAGTGAACAGCCGCAATGATAAATTTGCTAATAATTAGAGTATCAAGGAAATCAAATGCAGTCTCGAACAGCTGTCGCTACTAGAAAGAGGCGATTTTTAACTTAAAAGGATGAAAATAGATCAGGTAGGTAGATGTTAATATTGCTGTTCAATAATCTAGCTTATTCAGAATAAATATTCTGTTACTATGGTCAATTTCCGTTTTGATGACTGTTTCAACTTAATTTAAACTGAATATTAAACGCTTTATGTTAAAGCGCTAATAGGGTTTTAATATCAACTTTACCTTCATGAAATCACTCGCAGATAATTCGCTTGATCTTCGAAATTGACGTAAGAAATTTTCCTCAACAGGTAAGACTAAGGCAAGCTGATAAAAAAATTGCCATAGAAGTAAATTAATTTAGACCATCCGAGAATGGACTATTGCCAGCTCTAATTTTACTGGCTTATCTTATCATACCTCTTCCATTTCAATTCTTCCGTCATTATTTGAATCACAAAATTCTAATAGATCATTCTTATAGCGTTTGAATTCCTTATCATTATCGTTGACTTCCTATTGATTTAGCAAAATTTTACAGAATTGATATTTAAAGTCATAACTTATTTATTAAATTATCCTTTTGACTCATATTATTACTATAGCATTATTCGATGTATTTCTTAGAAGTTAGTCTTCTTAATGTGATGTAATAATCACATTATGGCAAGAGTGTCTTACTTTGTTGATTCCCTCTTTAATAAGATCTTTTAAAAACTGTTGCAATTCTTGGCTTTCGATATATCCATTATCTAAAATTGTTAAGAATTAAAAAACTGAATAAATTGGCTAGAAATCGTCAAATTTCATACCCATATGTTATTAGACAGTAAAGCTGCAGAAATTTTAAAAATATGGGTACGCTAATATAGATTTTAATGTTGGAAAACTATCTTAGGGAACTATTTTGTAATAATTAACATTATTTCTGTGGTTAAGTAAGATTTTAGAACTCAAAGTAAATGAATAATAATTCCTTTATCAATTTAGATAAAAATAAAATCCCTCCAACAGCATAAAAACATATTAGAATATTCATCCAAAATTTATGAAAACGTTGAAAGATTTAACATAATGCTCATTTATGATACTATCTTCTGTCTTAAAATCATTATGAATATTTTAATTATATGTTAGTCAATTTTTACTGACTTGATTAGTATTTTCTGTTTGTATATCTTATACTGGCAGTAAATATTAGTTACGTGTGATATTGTAGTGAGTAACGCTATCAAATCCATAAATATGTAATTGATATGTACAGTAGATATGCTGACATGGTATAACTAATTGGACGTATATCCATATATACCCACACATTTATACATAATTAAGAAATATTGCTACTGTCATATTAAGATGCAGTATTGTAGCTTAACATGGTATTGAGGAGACCAATATGTATTTATAAAGAGCATATATAAGGTGTATATTCGTTATACAGAAAGGAGTTAGATTCAAGAAGTTAGATAGGACTTTGATGCTTAACTATTTCAATAAAGTTGTGCTTATACGTAACAGATGAAAGCGTAATTTAAGATATATATCTCATTAATTACTGCATAGGAATAGCAGTTAGCAGGCGATATATAGATTATTATTAAATATAGCCAAAATTACTATAAATTTAACTGCAATAGATACGGCAAAGAACAAAATAATCTACTGAGAATAGAGCAGACGATATAGAAATCATTTTTATATCTGACTAAAGTCATCGGAGAAAGCTGGTCTCTTGAAGAATTATTCAGATAGATCTATTTATTATGGAGTCTACTTTAGGCAATAGTGTAGATCTATCAGCAGTAATATCGTTTTATCAATAGTTGATTTTTATAATCCTATATCATGATATAATAACATAGAATACGGAGACAGATCAAATAGTAAAGTGTCTACGAAAATAAATCTATAAAAGATGAAAGCAATGTTGACGTTATTACTTTATAGTTGGGGTCAATTGAGGGGGAAAAGTACCCATATTTAGCCGTAAGATGCTTGATTTAATTAAAATAATTCTGTTCTTAATTGCATTACGTAACTAAGGGTTAGGCATCAAATAAATCAGTTCTTTATGTTCATAAAAATACCATGTAGAAATTACTGATCACCGTTTTACTTCATTGATAAATGATCTTATCCATACTGATATACCATAAAGAGAAAGATGAAATCTTCATCATAGCAACGGAATAAGTTTAGATAGCAATTCATGATTCTACTATAGAAATTAGATCTTTCTAAGGCAAAATTTAAGACTGTTCATCTGTTTTAAGATCGATTCATGATATCGTCATGTTGCTATTGCTATTATTTAATACATTAAAACTGTCATTATGTTATTCTAGAAAGAGTAATAGCCCCTAGAATGGCTTATAGTATACTCTTTAAGTGCTGTATCCAGTATCTTGAATTTGAAATTGCCTGAATTTTAAACCACTCTAAATCATATTTTTAAAATTGAATATGGTCATACGCTTCTAATGACATAGCATTATTGCCATTTACCGGATATTATAATCCTAACTCTTGAATCAGTCACGAATGATTGGGTTGTGGCTTACTAAACCATTTCTACAGCAGAAGAAATTCAATAGCGTGAAAGAATGATTGTGACAGATAAATAATCCTAGCATGACATTCTGTCTCTGTTTAATATTGGATCCAATCTATTTTTCAAAGTTTGACAGTATTTTAATTGATGTCAATTAGTCTCATGATGTGAATAGTCGTCATGATTCCAGGTGTACTTCAGATGGGATCTATTCTGTCATTTCATGACAACAGAGTTGATCAACTACAGCCCATCATGACTGATCATTTTGATCATTTTCTATGTTCAAGGGTAATACTAGTATTGTTCATTAATTTATCAGTCTCGCCAGTTGTAAAATGAACTGGAATCAGTCTTGAGAGTTTATAACCTTCTAATTGAGTGATGAACTACCGAACAATAACTTTACAAAAATTATCTTCTCCAACAATCATATTGTTAGATAATGCTTTTCTAAAGTGCCTTTATCCATTAACTGCCATTATTATCGTGTATCATAAAAATGATTTCTTGAGCTAATCTAATATCGATGATAATCATCAAGGTAAAGTTGTAATTGATTAAATTTTATTTAGGTAGTTGAAGAATGTAATAACGTAGTTAATAGATTACTAGCAAAAGGGGAATTCTGCTGTATTCCATTGAAAATAACTTATTTCAATTCGGTAATAATGAATCGTCTAATATCCAATTATGATCATAAAGGCAAACCTTTCACTGATCCCGTTGAAGAATTTCAGTGGATAGGTTAAGAATTAAACGTAGACTGTAACTGAATAAGGGACTAAAGTTTAGATATTCGGTTAGAAATTAGATATTTTAGGTTGGTAACAGAATGAATGAATGATGCAATTTTTCATGATAATCATAAAGGGTAAATGATGACATTTCTAAGTTTCAAAATGGGGACTATACTCTACTATATAAATATTCTCTTGGAAATAAGATAATTCAGTTTAACTAAGAATAAATGATCCAATTATATTACAATCACAAGGGACACAGTTCTCTGTGATATGCGAATAATTTGTAAATTTAAAAATGGGGACGACACTGTATACTATACTATAGCGTATTCCATTAAAAATTACATATTTCAATTTACCAATCGAAAGGATGATTGCATTTTTATTCATTTTATTACTGCATTTAATAAGATAAACAGCAGTAAATTTCAATTGAAGATTTCAGCTTGGAATCAATGAATAATATATAAGAAGGGATTTAATGCAAACTTATAGAGAAAAAAATAATGTGTTTGAACCAATCCCACTTTAATTTTAATGTATGATGGATCAAATGTAGTCAATCGACTTGTAAGTAGGCTAGAAACAAGAAATTCAAGTTTAGCGATTATAATGAGGTCGCAGACTTTCATTATTTACTCTAGAAATTTCAATGTATAGCATTGTCGCTAGTGATCACAGCCCATCTGTTATGATCAAATAAGGAGTGAAAATTTTTAATCATAACAACACAACTTAGTATTTCCAGCTATAAAAAAGTGATTAAGATCATGGCCATTGTCAAATATCTAATAACTCGAAATTGATTGTCAGTTTTAGATTTAACAGCATAGTCTAAACTATAATATTAGTTCTCTATAGACTCAAGGATTGCCGTAGAATTGAAATATTTTGATTAGAATATAGCAGCAATGATCAAGTACTAGTTATAACACTGATCATGATCATGCCCATGGCAACTTTCGTTTCATCTATTAGAAATTAAATCTCTCTTCTTAATTATTGAAATAGTTCCCTACAGACTCAAGGATTGTATATATAAAAGGGGAAACTACGACTAAAATATAGTAGTATCGATCTACTACTGAACCGTGTTCCTTGACTAAATCCATCCTACCTAGAAGTTTATTCTCCTTACCCGATTTCATAGCATGGCCTAAGCTAGAGTCTTAAATAGAATAGTCTAGCCGTATCAAGTCTATTTTGAAAACATAGCTAGCTGGTCCAACTTAAGATTAAAATTACGATAGTTGATTGCCATCATTATGATTGTTTGTTGATCAAGAAATCGTTTAAGATATTGAACAGGAAAGGCATTATAGCCAGAGGAAATTAGCTTTTCTAAATTCGATCATAAATACGGTAAACTAGCACATAACACCTTTGTTGAATTAATTACTATGAAACAACTTGAACTACCATCGCCTTTCCTAAAATAAGTTTTTAACGACTTGATTGTTATGATAAGATCGGGGATCACTGTCAAATATGGAAGAATAAAAGAATGAAGAGTAGTGAAAATCGAACCTAAATGTATTATTATTAAGTCTTTGTATTCTAGCTATAGCTTTGGAAAGCGGTGCGGGTACAAATTAGGGTAAATCCAAAGCTCTTTGCTTGGACAAAATCATGTTGAGAGGTAATACTTTGTATTTGTATTGTAGAACTATACAAGTCCGCTTACAATAAGCTAATTTAACATCGAGTAAGAAATAAAATTGCAATTTTCTGCCACGGTAAGTCACGTTGCCTATTCTATTTCATCAATGATTACCACACCAAATACAGGACTGGATAGTTTATTTTAGGGTTGATTAGTATCCAAACACAGTATAGTTACATGTAGTATGTAATATCAAATTTCATCTTATTTAAAATATCTTCAATTCAGTATCAACAACTATGACGACAAAGAAGGGTTCTTGCTGCTGTTTTTAAGTATTAAATTGAGCTTTTCAATGACTTTATCATTTATAACCATTCAGAAATATAAATCAACTTTAAAGGTAATACCTAGATTAAACTACCTTCAACTATATATCAACGCCTACGATAATAGAGAAGGATTCTTTTTGCTATTATTAAGTATTAAAATAAGGCCTTCAATAGCTTTATCATTTCTAAATTTTCGAAAATAGAAGTGAACTTTAAAGGTAATGCCTAGTTTAAATATCTTCAACTCTGTGTCAACGGCTACAATGACAAAGAAGGACCCTTGTTGCTATTTTTAAGTATTAAAATGAGGATTTTAAAGGCTTTATCATTTATAAATATTCGGAAATATGGATAATTTTAACGGTAATGCCTGGATTAAAGCGTCACTATTTCACTAAGAAAGTATAAAATAACGATTCCATAACGGTTATGATGACAGAAAGGGATATTCTTGTTACTGTTTTTAAGTTTTTAGATGAGGTTTTCAATGGCTTTATGATTTATAAATACTCAGAAATATGAATCAACTTTAAAGGTTAGGCCTGGATTAAAATATATGTATCAACGACTACGATGATAGA